CACCGTAAAGTTTGAATAAGTCTGGTGAGACGACACATCCTTGTCTTACGCTGAATTTGTAAGGAGAACACTAGCGAATCAGGCGAAATCAGGACAGGAGCAAATTATCAAGAAAAAATAAATTTATCCAAAACAAAATATCTACATAGGTTAAAAATAAAAGTTAAAATATCTAATCAGGAAGTTTGAATTTTTAATTCTCTTCAATAATTATCAGAAATAATAATCACAATTTATTGAACGTCGTAATTTATTTTATTCAGTAATTTTAGTTATTAGTCTTCCTGGTAAACCAAAAAAAAAAAAAGAGTTAAATGTATTAAAAATATTTTTACACATTTTAAAAAGCAAATGTCACGAAAAGCTATTAAATGACAGTTCCCTGACTGACATCGTTCCATGCTGCAGTGCGAATTCTTCAGCATAGCAGATCATATAATGAATGATATATACTCATATATATGATCCTACGCTAAAGAGCATGTACTCATCAAGTTTCAGAGTGGCTAGAACGATCGTTTTCCGATAAGACTCGGGTTCGAGTATCACCATCGTCAATTTGTCAATAAAGTAATTTCTGGGAAGGTGAACGCAGCGTACGGCAACATTGGAAAGCGCCTGAAAACTATACCACGAATTGACTCGAGCCTTGTGAGTGAAGTTGGATTACACTAAACAATGCGCTCTCTCAGAAACTGTAACTAAGGTACGCTCAGAATGGTTGCAGTATAAACCACAGGTGGGATCTGTGGGTGTTGAAGAAACACAAATCTGCCTGAGCAGGCGTCTGCAACAGGGATCGGTTAACCGCTCTATTAGACAAGGATACTCGAGCGGCCAGCTATTACGACTAAAGAGGCTGGGTAAATGGTCAGATCCTTTAACCTTCCAGGTCATATGTGACGCTTTCACTCATACTGTATCTTTACAAGAGTCAGATCAGACAAAAAAAATGAAGTATTGCTGCTGCCATATTTATGTTGAAAATGTTCAATGCTCACATTCCAGCCTTGAAAGAATTCAAAAGCTTTTACGAGACCTTGTCAGAGACTATTTATTTCCCACCCTACACACCTTTTGTTGGACAGGTAGTTGCGTCCCTAATACTTGCGTACCAGACAATAGCGTCCCTGAACATTTGCAACCCTATGCAAATGCGTCTCTGGATAATTTTTTGAAGTTATCCATTTTTAAAGAGTATTTTTGTAATATAGACATTTGCACACCAATACCTTTAATTACTGTAAACAAGTAGAAAAGTACTTACCGTAAATAAAAAAGACAGAAATATTTCGTTTTCCAAGCAGGATAAAATTAAGTTTCAGTTCACTCCAGCAGTGCATACTACAAACAAATAATAACTTCTGGATTTTATTGATTATACTTTTATTTGGAACCCATGGCTAATTTCCGAAAATCAAACACTGGTGGTAAAATATTTGTGAACTAGGTAAATTACAGCTAGCTCTATCATAAGAGAAACATCGATGAAACAAAAACATACTGTGTAGAACGATCTTGCAATACCGTTAATCTGTACGTTCAACAGCTTCAGTCAGTAAACCGCACCTTGAGTGGTTCTTGGGCCTTGTTTTCGGTGAAAGCAAAGTAAACACTATGACAAATTTAAGAAAGTAGAATAGGCGAATACCAACTGAGATAACGACAGTTTCAAATCTACCTTCACCCCCTATCATATAACCAATCATATATAGAAAAAGGCTATTGCAAGTATGTGGGAGGTGATTTAAAGAGACGTTACAGAGATGTGACTCTAACACACAAGAACAACATATGTGTTGATAAATAAACTTAAAATGAAACGAACAGAATACAAGGCAGAGATTTAATCTAATTCACGACAGTATTAATGTTTAATAAAACTATAACTTACTAAATATCGCGCTTCGATGTGGCTTCATAAATATTTGCGAAATTAATTTTAATAAGACAAATATATGGACCTCATTACAATATCAATGGTTAATAAGTCTAAAGGCCCCCAAATTACATGTTAACGTGTCGTTTTAAATATTCCCTAATCATATCTGAGTACGCTAAAATGTTACAAATTCATTTATATTATTACAATACGAGCCGAATTACTGCCTTGCTGCGTGTCACGGATGTTTTGTAAGAAAATATTGATTGATTTTAAATCCTTGTTATAATTTGTGGAGAAAAATGATGCATTTCAATATTACTCAATGACCTTGGCGATGTGACCTCCATCTTCTGGCTTTCTCCTTCTATATTTTGGATAAGTGTCATTCCTTTGTTCAAATTTAAATTTAATTCAAATCAAAGGGAAAAATGTTTTCAATGAGGGTTGCGCCCCCTGGGACCACCTTTTATCAAAATGAAATATACTTATCCAAGTGGACTATGAGTCATTCCCTTGTTCAAATTTAAATTTAATTTATATCAAAGGGAAAAAGTACAGTAGTGGTTTGTGTCTCCCAGCGGACCTCTTTGATCAAAATGAAATATACTTAAACATGTACCCAGGGTAATGTAGCTTCAGAATATATGTGGTTATGGAGGTCTATCTCCATAACCCTAGGAGGAGTTCGATAGCTGACAGACAGAGGCTACAATTATATATATATATATATATATATATATATATATATATATATATATATATATATATATATATGGATCATTGGACAATAAAACTAACTTGTTAAATATTGTGCTTTGACGTGACATTTTAAATATTTTCTAGACATAGTAAATAGTTTTAGAGGTGGATTAGGTAGATGTCAGTTCTTTTGTAATAGTTTCTTTTCTCGTACTTCTCGCCTGTGTTTCGTTTCTCGCTTCTCTGTCACCTACAATCTTCAAAAATTTATATGCAATGTCAATCACAATCTTCTGCGTTTCTGAAAACTGTTCTTTTATTGTTCTTTTTTCTTACTAAAGACTTCTCATTCTCTTTCACGACCAGCAACCCACTGCGTCTTAGTGGCATTATCACATTGTTTAGGGTGAAATCATTAAAAAAGAAAAAAGTACAACAGAATGTTAAAAAAGCATACAAATCATTACAATATTAATAACTTAAAATACTTGCGATTTCAGTCCGGGTTGTCATCGGATTTAAAAATGTTGCGTAGTATGACCGAAGATTACAAATTCATCTAAAAAAACCTGAAATACTAATTTCCAATAAGAATTGGAATTTGAAATAGCAACATTAGATTTACTAAACGTAGCATACGAAGACAAGATTACAAATGTATGTAACTCATAGCATCAATGATCATTAAAATGAACGCGCGAAATGGTGTTCCCGAAATGGCGTCTTAATTATTTACTAAACGCTGCATCGTACCACGCAAGATTACTAACGCATCTCAGTGTAGATTTTATGGTCAGTAAGATTGATTATCTGTTGCTCTTCCATATTACCTCTGAAATATTTGCTAAACTTTGCTTAGTACGACACAAGGTGATTATAAATGTAAGCAACTATCTAGAGTACCAATAAGACTTACTTGGTAACTATTATTTACTAATCATCCATGGCGTCCAACAAATTCAGGAATTTTAAAAATATCATTATATAAAACCGTTTCCTCAGACCAATGATTGCAAATAGATTTACGTGAATGAATTCTCAGTCTTAAAAAAGACAATACTTCATCAGAATGGCACAACCAAATCTCAGAGAGCTTTACCAATTAAATAACAATCAAAAACCACATTACTTGAAAACTTCCAACAACAGCAACAATTAAAATGGATAGCACACGTCTCTACAATAAAAAATAATGATATAATCATGATCTAGACTTTTCAAACTATTTTATATAAAAAAAAGTCTGGGAGGAAACTTCCATTGATCATAGAAAGTGTGATGAATAGGAAAGATTATATTAAATCAATTGTTAAGTCTGCTGCTAGGAAAGTCAGTTCATTATATTATGCTAGACAATTTCTATCACCAGAATCTATCTTGCACATTTATAAGTTTATTATTTGTTCATATATTCAATATTGTTGCATCATCTGGTCTAGTGATTCTGTTTTATAATCAAGAGATGCTTGACAAAATCCAAAGAATCTGCTACATTATCTGTTCAGACCTGGCATCACACTTTACATTAAAGATTGCAAATGCATTCCCGTGAATGAATCGTCCATGTCTGAAAGAAGACAATACTTCATCAGAATGGCGCTACAAAATAAAAAAAATGCTTTACCAAATAACAAATACCCTATCACTTTGTAAGGAAGAAAGATTTATTCTCTCACATATTTCCCTCGTCATGGGCATTTTCATATCCATGATATAATAACACCATACTTCACGGACGGAATGGAATGACTGAAAGGAGGAGGAATGACAAACATGATTTTATGCTACTAAGATATACAAAAACTATATCTACATAATATACACATGTGTTCCACACGGAGAAAAATATATCACATATATCTACACAGCAAAGCTGAGTGTAAGGAGAAACAAAAAGGAAGGATCTGACCTATAATATGGAGATACACTTGTGTCTGGAGAAGTCATGTTCAGGACTCCTGTTTTAAATGCGCCGGATCCATCTATGTCCCAAGCGATCGCATATTCCAGGATTGGGAAACATCGAGTATTGGGTTTTCCGAAATTGAGGACTGCGAGTTGGATTATCTTTGTGTATGTGGGAAAGATATATTCGCAAAGGGAAAGGGAACTATGGATTTGTAACATGTGGGGGGAAATTTAGCCACTGACCAGGCCAGGCTAGGGGCGAACTAGTGTAAACAAACTGAAATTTGACTGCCGCTAACTTCACTGTAGGAAGTGACGTCAGTAAGCGACTGTCATATAACCCATTTGACTTATCTCCAACAAAGGGAGATAATAGTCTATTGTATCCTTACACCTTGAAAACGTTCAACTGCAACAACAATGAAAATAGGTAGCATATTTAACTAGAAGGTAGAAATAATATAATCATGTTGACTTTCTACACTACCTTAAACAATACTTATACTGCTTACGGCCATATAGCGTTGAAACACCGGTTCCTGTACGATTACCGAAGTTAAACAACATCGAGCCTGGTCAGTACTTAGATGGTTTACATCTTAGGAATACTAGGAGTTGTAAGCTTGGATGTACGGGTGGTGTAATGGATAATGACTCAGAATTGTTAATCGAAGAACCGAGATCCAATTGCCGTCGAATTTACGCGCAAATACCGATGGAAAAGGAAGGAAATCACTTCTTCTCCCCATCTATGGGTTAATTAGCAAGACCTGTATTACTAAATCATCATTATTTAAGGAAATTTTACAATCTATATATATTGTTTTGCTTTAAATAACCCTCAAAGAGTTGATAATGAATCAATCAATTTATATACTTACTAATTATTTGCTCAAATTCATTTTCCGACATAAGATCACAAATACGTCTCACTTGAGCATTATTAACTAATAAGACTAAATTGGTAACTATTTCTTCTCGTCTAATCTACATAGGTTAATCATAGCATAGATGGATACAAGGTTAACTCACTACATTATGAAGGATCAATAAGACTTTTCTAATCATCTCCCGTCAGTGAATCTTAGTAGATATTTTCGAAGCTTAATTTCTATTATAACAACCAGTGAATATAACAACCACACACACACACACACACACACACACACACACACACACACACACACACACACACATATATATATATATATATATATATATATATATATATATATATATATATGTGTGTGTGTGTGTGCAGGTATGTAGAAAAATAGGTAAGAACAACGTTAGGTAAATAATCCAGGGTTGTTACTTTAATTCAATTTAATTTTAATAATTATATTGATGGTTTCGGCTCTCGTTTTTTGAAACATGAGAACTCTTATGTAGCGAAGGAATCATATTTAAAAAATAATTATATATATGTATATATATATATATATATATATATATATATATATATATATATGGGGTCCTCGACTTACGTCGCAGATCCGTTTTACGGCGCGACGTAACCTTATTTTCGACGTAGGTCGAATCTCACCCACATAATCACCCAAGAGTCTACTTTACGCTTGGTAGCCCTAATGGAAGACAAACATCCCCCACCCCTGCAAAAAAAAAAAAAACTACTCAAACGTGGGATAGCGAATGTATCACAATACAATATGGGCTACAGCCGGTGAAGAAACAACGTCGTCTAAAATAAGAAAAATAATTATAATCTGAAAATATTTTGTGGCTTTAATTAACCTGTAAAGAATTGATAAACTGTAAAAAACGAATCAATCAATTATTCTTATTTGCTTTATGCTAATAGTTTATAGATAAGTTTATAGCACCCATTAGAACATTTTCGGTAACAGATGGGTAGAAATCGTTGATATCAAACAGGATGAACGCACACTCATTCTTTCTTTTGATTTTCTTAAACAGACTATAGCTTCTCTCGTATTTCCACCTCCCTCTATCTCTTGCAGCTCTCAGCAAGTTCCTTCCCTCTGCTTCCTCCCCCAGGTAACGTTCTGTCATCCACCTGCTTAAGCTGGTCAGGTATGGTACGCGATGCTTTCCTTTGTCTCTCTTTCCCTCTATTCAACCCGTGAGTAGCAGATTCTCCAGGACCTCCTTCCTCATTATGTTTCCTAGAAACTTCAGCTGCCTTTTTCTGATGTTAAATATAAACCTTCCCCTTGTTTGCATCCTCTCTAAGACCTCATCGTTGCTCACAGGGTCGGTCCATAATATCCTTAGCATTCTTCTGTGGAACCACATCTCCGTCGCCTCGAGTCTCTTCTTCATCTTTGAAGAAATCGTCCCACATTCGCTGCTGTAAAGAAGAATAGATGTAGCGTAACAGCTCAGTATTCTTTTCGTATTATACCACTGATTACCAATAAATTTCCCGTACGTTCACAAGCTTTTTCCAGAAGGATTTAACTAATTTTTCCTATATTATTTCTGGTAGGGTTTTGTGATGGTTATTCTAGAAATTTGGTTTGTGGTCCTTAATAGCAATATCAGTTTGTTACCTATACAATTTGTTGATTCAGTTATTAATCTTTAAATCAGTAGCTATTTCTCTGGCTTCTTTTCCCAAATATTAGACCTTTTTTTATTAAAGTTTCTGAAGCGTTCTATAATCTCCATCCAGTCGGTTTTGTAAATGTTACCCGTTTTTATCGACTCTAATTAGTATTTTATCGTTATTTTTTTTAAAAATCTAAACCTTTTTTCTTCATTCTTTTGTTTCACGCCGCCAGTGAATTTGATTTCATTTATTATCGAGAATAAATCCAAGAACTGACCGTCTGGTGGTGGCGGGTTATTGATCTGAATCCACGATATTCAAATTATTTTGGATACTCGAGTTCTTCCATCTCATGCCTTTGATGACGTTCTTAGTCTTTGGTAAGAGTGTTAGACGGTAATCTATTTCATAAGGAACCATAATATACTTAGTAGAACAGTGAAAGTTTATCGGTTCATCATTATACAACGGTTGGGAATAAAAAATTACTTTATCTAAATGAGTACCCAACTATAAGGAACGAAATATAAATCTAAAATAACTCACAATGAGTGCACACACACACACACACACACACACATACACACACACAATTCAACCAATCTATCTATCTATCTATCTATCTATCTATCTATCTAAAGAACGACAAGAATAAAATTCAAACGTTCATTTAAAAAGGGTTCAATACAAGAGTAGAGCAATAAATATTTATTAAAAATTGGTCACATTAGAATAAGGTCGATAAGAGAAGCTATCTATTGCATTTGTAGAAAGATTGTCACTACAATTTCACATTGGTGATCATTTCAATGCTTAAGTATTTTGATAGTATTTTGAATATTGTTCACATTGGACAGCATTTGTACTTCTTTTTTATTCTATATTTATTTCTCCTACTCTCTCTCTCTCTCTCTTCCCTTCTTTTTTTTCATTCCTTTTATGTAACTTTGTTTGTTTGTTTGTTTCTTTCTTTCTTCTCATCAGACTCTCTTTTTCCTTTTTCTCATATCTTTTTAAATTTCCTTTTTCTTAATTATTCTTTTTTCTTTTTTCTTTCTATTTTCCTATCATTCTCTCTTTCTTTAATTGCTTTGACTTTTTGCCTTTCTTTCTACGTTCTACTTTCATTCTTTTCATCCTTTTTCATATCTTAATTCCTTCCTTTTATTTCCAGGTTCCCTCTCAGTTCCCATTTACATAATTTCTTTCTTTCTTTCTTTCTTTCTTTCTTTCTTTCTTTCTTTCTTTCTCTCTTTCTTTCTTTCTCATAATTTCCCTCTTCTTATATTTCATTTCTGGGACCAATTATTTACGACAAGATACCTGTCGTATATGAAAACATATACGTTCGTCGATGTGGATGGAATTCTGTTGACATGAACGTCAGGAAGGAATGGATGACATCATCACTGGGATTTTATAACGTCACCGAACAGTTGCTGTATACAGGTGACTGTAGCAACTGGTTGTGCAGTTGTTGGCATATCTAATATGTAATTTATTCTCCTTTATTTTCTCATAATGTAAGTAGGTGGTAAATATGACACATTGACACGAGCGCACACACACACAGAAACACACACACACGCGCGCGCAGCACACACATGCACGCACACATATACGTATGTGTGTATTTGTATTTGTGAATTTAGGATGTACAATAATGTCCGAGACAAAAGTAGAGATTATGTGGTAACGTGGGGAATCTATAAACGATGCGTTTCGACGACGTCAGTTGCTAAAAAATTCTTTAGGTCAGAATGAAAGACAGAATTGTTCAGAGTTTCTCGAGAGACTCAGTTTTGTATTCGAAACTTAATTTCTTAAGAATTCCTGTATGTTATTTTTAATTCGACATTATTAATTTATACTCGTATTTGAGTAGATGGTCCGGTTTACTGAATGAGTAAGTGTATTATAAAGGCAAAAGAGATCTTCCTGAAAATGTGACACTTTTCGAAGGCGTACAATGAACGTGAAAGGTAGTTTTGAATCCTACCGTAGAGCAAAATTTCTGTCATGAGGTTTCTCGAATGTTCAGGTCAATATACGAAATAGTGTTCAAAATAAAACGAGGTGTCTACTCAAACAAAGGTATCCACTAAAAATAACATTTGAAGTGATATGTCTTTGGTGATATCTCCTGACGAGTGGAACCAGCAATAACACAAAAGATTCGTCTACAAAATCTGGAGTAGCGGTTCTGAATATAAGATGAATTAATTAAGTGACAAAATTTATATTTGTATTAATATATATATATATATATATATATATATATATATATATATATATATATATATATATATATATATAATGCCTGGTCACTTTCGAGTCTTCCCAGCAGAGACGGCGGTTAGCCAATGCCTGTATAGGATGCCTTCTCAGGCACATTTTTGTTTGATCAACACCCACATAGGCCAGATGTGGCTTATACTGTGACTATCCTTAGCGGACTTTGTTTACAGATTCTTGAAGAGGACGCATAATCTGGAGTGATTAACAGTTTGAACAAAACAAGTACGCCCAAACTCTCAGTTACAGTGACTTGAGTCAAACGGTGGGGTATGTTTTTCGCATTTCTACGCGTTAGTATCTGACTAGAGAGGGCCCGATACATCAATAAGTTTTCTAGCTAAAAAGTAGACAAATTCACACATACATACAGTGATTTTCCAAACGTAGCTTAGATGTGGCACAAAACCGAAAGTAGGGGTTACCCATTGAAGATCGAACTCATTGCTCATTCATAATTGTTCTAGTGAGACAAGCTTGCTAACTGATACTCCGCCTCGAAGTGCCACACACACACACACACACACACACACACACACACATATATATATATATATATAATTAAGTTACGAAGAACTTGGTAAACCGAATGGGTAATTCCAAGGAGGATGAAATCCTGAGAGCTCAATGTGAATCCAGAGCTAATATTTAATAAAAAAAAACAGACCACTTTGAGGTACCATTACAATTTGGTGAAATAAATTATCGTAATGGTACCTTTTAAAGTGGTCTGTTTTTTCATTAAATATATATATATATATATATATATATATATATATATTTGAACACACAAG